AATAAAATAATGATAAACGTTAAAATAATGAAAATGAATATCACAATGATAGCTGTGATAGCAGTGAAATCAGTGATAATAGTGATCACGATTTTCCTAGTGATCATTGGTGATGTTAATTGGCGCAGTCATTTAGTTGCGCAAACGGATTATCACTAACATCGTCCGATTCAGAATTATTATTGCACCTACGTATAGAAGACGTAAATCAATTAAAAAAGCGAGGGATTACGGCAAATAAAGTCAAACGAAAATTGTGGAACGATGCATCTATGATGTTAAATTACGAATTTTCTGCAAAACAATGTGCGATTAAGTGGAAAAATATTAAGCAGTACTCCAAAAAAAATTCTTAAATTACATTTTCATAATTTATCTTCACAAAATGTCATGTGTACTGCGCAACTTTCAGAAATTGTTCGTGATTCGTTCCAGGTTATTATAAATATATTTCGTAATTTGTTCAATCTGTAATATAATACAATAAGTATCTGTAAGCTTTTGATCTTAATAAAGTTTGTTTGATATTATGGATTTAAAATGTTAAATCAAAAGATGTTCATCAGTGATGCTGGCCAGAAATTACAAAACGGGCCGGTAATTTAGGCCAGTAGACGCTGATCGGAAAAATTTTGCCCCAGATTACACCAAGTACAGTATTTTATGTCACCTGATAATTTTTTTTAATGTAAGATCGTCCCATTAGTAAAAAATTATTCAACTTTTAATATAAGTGTACAGTATTTTCAAATATTGAACCATTTATGTGACGGACGCATGCTCGAGAATCCAGATTCAATAATGGAGTTGAAAATCACAGTTCATTTGAAAACGATGGAGTCGACTCGGTTAAAGTTGATTCAACGGTTGGTAACAAGCTTGTCTAAAATTCTATAATTTACAAACTAGCCCTCAAGTTCATTTGAAATTTTTTGGTAGGAAATTTCTAATTCTATGCATTTTTGCAGCAGGTATGAACTTAATTCATATAATAATAATTATATTGTGATAACTTTTATTGAAATTATTGAAATAGTAATTCTCAGAACGAACCGCAAACCTGTCTCGTCATCAACTTGGTATTATTGAATAATTCAATGATATCATTAGGGTGAATCCAAATATCGAGTTGATAATTTAAGATTGTTAAATCAATTTGAATTAATAATTCTAAAAAAATGAAATATGAAAATAATGAATGCAATTTGTATCAAGAAAGTTTAAATTAGAAAATGTAATTTGGAATACAGAGCAGACTAGCCGTCGATATCGTATATTTGTAAATAATAATGGAAAAGTTAAATCTTCAACCGATTTAATAGTCTTTATTTCAATAAAAATCGTCACTTTATTAAAGGACAAATACATTTTTAAGTTAAAGTAAAATACTATTTCTTGTATTTACTAATTATTTCTATGAATAACGATTCCAACATGTTGGAATCGTCACGCAGTGAAGAATCGGAATCAGTGTCGGTTTTATGGTAAGCTATTCTGCTTAAAAAGTTTTCTAAGCTCAAAATTTCATTAAGATTTTAATGTTGATCGCTGAATTACACAATATAAATTAGCTTTCAAATTTTTGTAGGATATTCGTAATACGAAATTATGTCACTAGCGTCTGTAGTTAATGAATTATAAAATAAAGCTTTTAAAAACTAACAATGAGGTGGTACAATACTTTCGGAAGTCACTTAAGTTGCAAATGTTTACTTTTGATGGTCTGCATAAAAAGCATATCTCGGGTCCTTAATTTAAGCCGAGTATTAAAAAAACCAGCCCGGCCCGGCTCGGACTTAATAATATGACAATTTGAACTAGTTCCGTGAAGTTAATTTATGCTATTAAGGCGAACCGAAATTTAATATAATTTTTTTTTTTTTTACCAAAACTAGTTAATATATGCATAATGTAACGCGCGACAAAATAAAAATGATCGGCATCAATATTAATCAAGTTCGTAACTGATTTTAATAGCAAACCTCACAAATTAAAATAAAATCGGGTCAATTTTAATTAATTTATAACATTTGCCAGAATTATAAAAATCCGGGCTGGTACTTCGAACTCGGAACCGGTCCGTTGCAGGCTTCTACTTTCTTTGTTTTATTTTATTAAAATTACTAAAAATGTTCGCTAGTTCTATATTAAATTTTATCATAAAATTCTGGTCGCTTTAATGAATCGTACCGCGTACAATCTGCAAATTCTACTGGTTCTAAAAGGTCAGAACGATTCGATTTTCGTATTGACCAAACGATTCATATCGTACCGATTTTTTCATTTACCCTGGAATCATGTATTGTAAATTACGTTTATGCTAATAGCATAATGATTATATACATGGCATGAATCCACTTGTTGCTGAAAAATGCAATGAAGCTTTGAAGATTAACTGATGAAAGAAATTCAAGTTATGAACGATTCAAAGAAGAATGAAGAAAGGTGTAACAACCTACCTGGACTGGTTGCTACGATTCCCGGACAAAAGTAATCAACAAAAGAACTTAAGAAATGATACCAATAAAAATTATGCCAAAATAAGTTATATAACCAACCTGGAAAATATCACAACATTCTAAATAGTTTTACTGCGTACCAAAGTTATTAATATTGACCTATTAAAAGTATTTTACTAATTGACGCTATTGTTTTTTTCCTACCAGTATCATTTTGTTGAGTTTATGATTTCGCTTGTACGGTTTGTATCGATTACGGTAACGATTTGTCGAAGTATTTGATTCGGTCCATTAATATAAGTTGTACAAAATTGTATACAGAAACACTATGAGTTTGAAATCTCGCGAAGTGATTAATTGTTTGCTTGTAAAAACCTTCATCACAAATTTATCTAGTGAATTCAAAATTTCTTGTTTAATATTTATAATTTAAATGATCTAGTATTTCAGATAAAAATTATTAATAATAAATTTTATAATACCGAATAAAAATATTTTTGACTTAATAATTATTTTTTTTTTTTTTTTAAAAAAAAAAAAATCGAATAATTATATATTTAAGAGGTTTAACCAAAATTCGGCGTCGTATTTCCTTTAAGCCGTTTAAAGGAAATAATATATATTCAAATTTTCTTAATTTTAACTTTCTTTTAGTTATTGTCACAAAACTTTGGAAGGAAAATCGAGCGTATTTATATTTTTTTTTTGAAACCAAAATTAATTACTGCGGCGATAAATAGACGAAATGATATGCACGCCGGAATTCCGGATTATTTTTATTCTTTTAGGAATTCTTAAGAAGTAAGTTTTTTCCATAGAGAATCAATAATTATCACGCTTCCAACTTTCTTTCCAATTCATTTTATTGCTGCACTGTAGCTGCCGAAACAAATTTTTTTTAAGAAAAAATTTACTTTCATTATCGGCCGATTGAAATTCGATACTGCGCTTTTCCTGCCTATCTGTTTGACTCATCATATTCTATTTTTTAATTTTTCTATTTTTATCTCCATTTGTAATATAATGTAATGTTACATCATTTCTTTAATCATGTTTCACAAAATCGTTATACTCTTGAATAATTCTTTCGGAATTCTAGAGCGGAAATAAGTTATCTTGATACAAATTTTACTATAAAAAAAAAAAATTCCCAATTTTCATAAACTGACACGGTCCGGGTAGATAAACTCAATTTGAATATTCGATTAATCTCAGTTCAGAAAGCAGTTAACTTTATTTGGTAAGACAAGAAACGGTAGATCTTTTTAAGTTATCCGAGCAGACTAGGTTATTTAAGGGAAATATTTACAGTTGAACCGAAGGGCTGAGCAAAGGAGAGATTTTATTGGTCATTATTAATGCAAGTAAATCATAGAAATAACCAAATGGTTTAATTTTTCCCGTTCAGCCAAAGTTAATTCTTGACCCTTGTGTTCGGCATATTTTTGTTTAACTTCTGCTAAACTTTTTCCAGTAAAAGCATAATCTGAACAAATTAAAAAAAAAAATTAATCAAAAATGGTTTTAAAGAAAAATTTGGAAAAATCAGTAAAAGACTTGGAAACGAAAATTAAGGAGTTAGAGCAAAGCAACGAAGAGTTACGTTCACAATTCAAATATTTAGAAGAAAAGATTAGAGTACGAGAAGAAGTATCCAAAGAAAAGCAAGAAATTATTAATGAATTAGAAAAGAGAATCAGAAATCTTGAATTAATTA